CGGGAAAGACAGAGCAACTACAGCCAACCCCAACCAGGTACTTAGTCACGCTTATCAAGAAATTTACTTCACAATAACCTCTGCTCAGAAACAGTGTATGAGCTCTAGTAAATAAGCGCAGAATAAGGAACACGGCACAGGTAGCCCCCACCCCTCCAACTGCACACACAAACACACACACACACACACACACACACACACACACACACACACACACACACATTTCAACACCCCTCAGAAGCATTGCTGCCTACTTTCTGCTGCAGCTCAAAAATTGCACTGAGGCAAATTAAAGAATTCAAATAAATAATTTTTTAAGGAAACCACAGATGTCATGTCCTCCATACTAGACCATCCAGCCTTTTATCTGTGTACAGTAAAAACTCCAGCCTTTCTGATGATATAGGGCTGCATTAGTGCCTGTTGATGGCATGGGGAGCTTACACTTTTGGAAAGACACCATTTGTTACAATTTATTTGTTACATCTTTTAATACGTTTACTGTGTTTGTTAATTGTTGCATTTTGATTTTTGATGTCCATTTTATTTATTTATTTTTTCAAAATTGTGATTGAATGAACAAAAACAGTGTTAAAAGTAGTGATCTCCCAATACCTGGCTCAATATCAGCATTTTTACATGTATTCATGATTATACAAAATGCTCCAATACTCGAGAGCTATACTCATATCAGTGTAAAATACTGAGATACTAGTATCAATAGTCCATTGAATGTGTTACAGTTTACATTTCAAGTGAAATGTTTGAAAAACAAATTTTATTTGTTATTTTTAGTTCTTTAAAACTTTTGCAGTAGTACATATTCTGTAAGTTTGATTTGATCCAGTCAGAGCGGCTGTAGACCTAAAAGGATGGATTGTTCTAAATAAAAGAATTGTGTTTTTAAAAGTCATTGTGTAGTTTTTATGTTCTAACTCAGTAAGTACTCAATATTGGTCTTCCGTATTGGTGAGTACCCAAACTGAAGTACTTTTACTCATACTTGTTTTTAGAAAAACAGGTATTGGACGCCCCTAGTTAAAAGTGTTATGACTTTGCTGAAACGTAATCTCAATTTATATCTCTCTTCTTCCTTTAGATTTAGACTTCTGTAAGAGTGGGCAGCTAAGGAGCCCAGACTACCACATCCATCAACAGCAGCAGCAGCAGCATCAAGAGGAAGAGGAAGAGGTGCTGCGTACTGGACCGGCTGCCCACGATCACAGTCGCGGTTATTCTCTCGGCGTGAGCTCRGATGTGGACACGGAGCCCGAGGTGGACCCCTCTCCCGCTCACGGCCTGCAGCACATGTGGATGCGTGGCCTGAAGTCGGAGCAGAGCTCGTGTCTCACAAGCCGTGCTAACTCTGCCCTTTCTCTGACTGACACCGAGCATGACAGGAAGTCCGAGCCGGACAACGGTAAGTGGTGGAAAAAAATTAATTCTTGCTTTTCTCACTTTTGACATGAAATTGGCTCTCACTTTGAAGGTCGCATATGCTGAAGTCCAGGTTCTTCTTTGTCATTCGTGTTTTCTGATATATTCCCAACAGTCTCATTATAAAAATTTGAAATTTCTTGCCGGTAAATGCAAAGAAAAACAACATATGACATTACACCTTTTTCAAAGGTTTAAATCCAAGCCTTGGGAAATTACACGATTGAAACTGTTTTTTTTAAACTGGGTCTCACGCTTGAGTTCCTCGCTCTTTGAAGGCTCTTTGATGTGACTTAACGCAGAAAATGTGCTATAGGTTATTTGCTGGGCTTGTATTGGAAGCGATCTCATGGCTGACCACGGATGCAGTTTGAGGGAAGATGGTGGGTTTCCACAGTACATTACTGGAAYTATCCATGAAACGCAGGGGCAGGGTTTGGTTTTAATTCTTTGTGGCAAAGAAATTGAAGGGGTCACACATCTTCAGTGCTTGACTGACTGCCTGAGGGCAACTGACAACGGCCTCTGTGGGAAGACCACGGAGCCTGGAAGGTGGAGGAGAAGTCGAGAGGCGGGGARGATGATACGGGGCCAAGCAGAGAAGAGTCTGGGATGGTGCCAGCTATCTGTCGTGCACTGCTGGGCTTGGCTTGGCTCCCTGCAGATGGAGCGTTAGTTAGAGGTGCACACAAACAAAAGCAGAGCTCTCCAACCCGTCCCCAAGGGCGCTGTCTGTTTATGTGCCACAAAAAAGGTGGAACAAATTCAGTGGCTGAGAAGGAGATGGGTGATACGGGAGGAGAGAGAGAGCATGTGGGGGGAAAAGAGAATTAGAGATGGAAAGAATAAGAGACAGGCAGAGCAAAAAATGCAAATGAGAGAATAGAAATGGTAATGTAATGGTATAATTAGAATGAGAATAAAAGGAAATGAGTGGTTGAGGTTAAAAGAGGTGAAGGAGAAGCTAGTTTCGAGTGCCACAAAAAGATGGTGGGAGGTGGAGGGAACCGACTGAAGGAGTGATGGAACATGTGAAAAAGTGCTTTAAGACGTGCTTGTTTGTGTTGCACCCAGGGGTGGTGTTTAATGACTGTCAAACTGGACGTGGAATCAGCCCTTAAAAAAAGGAGAAATAAATCACAGGATGCAAGAGGTGAGGCGGTGAAGGAAAGCAGGAGTGCTCGCAGCGTTACACAGTAATCAATTTGTGACGGTTGCGTGCATGCGCGCAGAAGTTATTACCATTTGAGATGAGGACCTCCATCCTTATCGAGGGTCAGTGGAAAAAAATCCCAAAGACGGAGAAGGCAGAAGTGACTGCTCAGAGGAAACAGAATGGATGAAGCAGTAGAGGATTTAAATGTTCAAAGCATTTTGTTTTTTTTCTGCCACAGTGCACCGCAAAAGCTGGTTTATGCGTGGATTTCACATGTCACATGATGATGAACGTCCTGTGGTGCTCAAAACTTTGACACAACCTCAAGCTCTTTCTTTTACTCTTACCTCATAGTTAAAGGAGCAGATCAGCTACTGTATTTTCAAGTGGGTATCTTTGTAAAGGTTCTAAATAAATAATGTCTTCCTCAGACAGCATCTTGAACAGACTCAGTTTGGAGAAATAATATTGATGCTTGGCCAAACTAACAAGCTCTTGGCTAATCTGAACATAGCCAAGATCAACGTAGATTACTGCTATCTTAAAACAGCTCTAATCATGGTTCCTGTGAATGCTATTATATAAACTCTTAAACCTTTGATCATTTTGATTGGCATAATCATGGACAAGATCATTTTGGTAAAAAATTAAAAAAAAAATTCCAAACACAAATGACTTTAGGATCAGGGGCACCTTCGGACATTTTCAAAAAAGTAGCCAGATTGGGACCACAGATATTTTTGATGTGTCCCACCAGACTAAAAGCTTTAACAAAGTTTCAGTTTTGTTACGCAGTTGTCATACAGTAGGGTATGATGATTGGTTTATACTTCAACTGCAAGCCTTGCTGATGCTGTTGCGTGACAAAAATTGTGTAGCTTCTGTCTATCTCCCACTGACACCCCCGTCGGGTACATTTCCCCCAGTCAGAAGGTTGTCTTGCAGACCTGTTAGGCTCACAGTGTGAACTTTGTGGGCGTGTTTGTTTATGTGGAACAGAGCATGCTTCTACTGCACGTCACTTTGTTTAATGTGGTCCGCTTCCAGAAGCCTGTTTTTTATAGCAATATTCTCGTTCCCATTTTATAACTATCACCAAAGGCAGCGTATGAGCTCCCCGAAGCCATAACCTCAAATGTCACGATCTGTTGGATGGGTTTGTCTAAATGAGCAGTAGGTTTATGGAATTACAAGAAGTGACTCTGGTCGTCCATCTCCTGCATGGTAAATTGATTATTAGCCTAAACTTGCGCACGTTTTATCAACTCCAAGGACACCAAAGCATTACACACCAGTCATTCACCCATTCATACACACACACTGATGGTGGTAAACTACATTGTAGCCACAGCTGGGGMTTTGAACTGGCAACCCACCAATTACAGGACAAACCCCTACCTCCTGTAGCCACTGTCGCCCCATGCATCTGTCAGATCAACAGACTGAACTCACATTGCTCATGTCTGGTCCTGTTTGTGGTTTATAAGTGAGTGAAAAAACAACCTCTGTCTATCCTATCACTGTTGTGGTTTATAAGCTTAGCTATGCACATGAAGTGTGCTACATCGGGCGAAATTACGATTTATTCCCCACCTCTTCCTCCTGACTATAAACACTCTGTAAGACAAAGACACTCAAAATGACGTAATCACTGATCRGCTGTCTCCCGTCTTGTTGAAGTTTAAACCAGGCTTATTAAAAAGTACAGCAGTTAGGGCATCTCCTTCTGATTTAGGCTTCAGCTCACTGAAACATGTCTTTTCCCACTAAATTCATGTTTTTATAATCATGTTACATATATAAGACTGATCAGCCAGAGGGGTGTCAATGAGGAGGGGCAGAAAATTTATGGGGTAGCCTTGACGCCCCTTCCCGACCCCCACTTAATGATGCCTTTGACCTGCAAGTGCTGTGTGTTGCTGCTGCTGGTGCATTTTATCCATGTAAATAAACATAAAATTCCAAATATATAACCTTGTAATGCAAAATTAGCGGCCTCGTAAAGGTTTATAAAATGGCGCTCTCATGAATCTCTGTAATTTGAGACTGGAGTTACCCACTTTGATCTCGGCTGTTCTTGGACTAGCCATCAAATTGAGACAGTCCAATATGCTCAAGTCTACAGTGGATAAGATTTTCTTTATTACACATAAAAAACACTTGAAACAAATCCAACTGTTTCCTTAAATCTTTGTGAATTGATATCCTTTACTTGGCAACTTGTTTCACTCTTTAGCTCCAGGAACCCATTCATTCTCATCCCACTTCCTGTCCATCTCCCTCTGACACAGGACCAGGTGTGTTCATGCGTGGCATCCTCTAATAGGAAATGCATTATGGATGTCACATGTCTTTCCATCGACACAACAAACTCTCACACCCCCTCCTGTTCTCAGCGATAATGAAAGTTAGTGCTATTTGGTGGCGGTGGAGATTGATGTAAAGGGGCTGCATAAAACACACACACACACACACACACACACACACACACACACAC